ATCTTCGCAGGCTGGAATTTCCGAGAATGGAAAGCAACTAGATGAAATTCCTGATCTGCTCCGAGTTGAGACAGCACAGCACCGATAGCAAAGTCAGAGGCATCCGCCTCGATGAAGAAAGGTTGTGAGGGATCAGCGTGGATCAAGACGGGAGCAAAATTGAAGGCCGACTTGAGTGTGTCAAAGGCCTACTGGGCAGCAGCAAACCAAGAGAAGGGAACATTCTTGTGAGCGAGATGCGTGAGAGGAAGGACAATGTCGGAGTAGTGATCAATGAATTTGCGGTAGAAGTTGGCAAAGCCAAGGAAAACCTAAACGTCCAACATTGATTGTGGAGGCTCCCATTCGAGAATAGTCTTGACTTTGGCAGGATCCATCGTTATACCCTCATGAGTGACAATGTACCCAAGGAACTCCACAGACTCTTGATCGAAGAAACATTTCTCAAACTTCGCGTATAAGCCGTGTTCTTGCAACTTTGCCAGCACCTTGCACACATGCTCGTCGTGCTCCTCCTGAGTTTTTGAGTAGATGAGGATGTCATCAAGGTGTATGCTCCATGGAGGTCGATCTTGGTGAAGAAGCGGGCACCGCCGAGGTGTTCCAACAGGTCCGAGATCAAGGGTAGCAGATAACGATTTCGAACAGTCACCTTGTTTAAACCTCAATAGTCGATGACTAATTGCAAACTCCCATCCTTCTTCTTGACAAAGAAGACAAGCGCTCTAACTAGGGACTGCGAATGTTGAATGTACCCCAAGGCAAGTTTCTTGTCCACATACTCTTTGAGGGCCTTAAGCTCGGACGGGGATAACCCATAGATAGACCCCCACAGAGGTGACGCTCCTTCCTGTAAATCAATGGGACAGTTGTAAGGTCAATGAACAGGCAGTACACTAGCTTTTTTCTTGTCAAACACATCCCCAAAATCATGATACTTCTCAAAAAAACTGACAGGAAAAACATGCAAAGCAAAAAGGAAAACAAGTTCTTCGTGAAGGAGTTATTTCATAGTGATTGTGGAGATAGGAGGAGGTGTACAATTGAATGGAATGATGAGACAAGGATACTGTCCAGTGTAAGATGGAAGAGAGGGAAAAGAAGAGGGTGAAAACTTCGTAGAGTCAGGAACAGAACCCAATTTGAGTTTAGGGAACTTTTCCTGATTCAGACTCGATGAACAGTAGGGGAAGATGTGGGAGATGGTGACGTGGGAGAGACGAGCTGTAATTCCTTCCAACAGATCTAAGGCTGGTGTAGTTGGAACCAAGGAAGGCTGAGCACCAAAGAGGAGGACTTGTTATTGATGATGTTGAAGGCGATATCGGTGATGGTGGACCCGATGTGTACTCGAACGGGCAACATTTCCCTAAGTCCAGAAGATGGAAACACAAAATCTAAGGCCTTCAACCCTCAGATCCTGTATGGTAGGAAAGAGAAGAACGTGATGTCAGGCAGCAAAGTTTATGTCCATGAAGCAGAAAGTTGCACCCAAGTCTAGTAGCACCAGAGCCTTGAGTCCTGATTGTCCGATGAAAGAAAGGAGACATGGGATGCGGAGGTTGCGGGAATTGGTGGTGGCTTTGATGAAAGGTGGTGAGAAGCTTGATAAAAAAGGAAAGTGATTTTTATTTGAGGAGTCCAAACAAACAGCTCCTACTCTATTTAGATAGGGTTGTTTCCCAACTGCAACAGAGGTGGACCTTGAGGCAGAGTGAACTCAAGCAGTTGGGGAGGCTTCTTGGGACACACAACTACTTTGTGATTAAGATCAGCACAGTAGAGGCAAAGATTATGAGATACTCGATGTTGCTTTTCAACAGGACTCAACTTCCCTCTGATGAGTCGGGGAGTACCAGAAATACCTATCGGGACCGGAGCAGTAGGTTCAAGAGTATGCCCCGAAGACTCAAGCTAGGATTCCTGAGTCTGGGACAGGAAAATGGCGGCACGGTGACTTTCCTGACAACGTTCAAAGAGGCAATTGTCACATCAAACAGTTTTGTTGATGGCATCTGATAGATCCATGGGATCCTCCATGGTGAGTAACAAATCCTTGACACCATTGTTGAGGCCAAAATGAAATTGATCAATCAAGGCCCACTCATCCTACTGAGTGTCCAAGGCAAGGAGTTAGAACTCCACAGCATAGATCGAGGTAGGACAAGACCCCTAAGAGAGATGTCTCATCTTTGTGGTGGTAGCCCGAACCCAATCCGTTTCGCCAAAACATGCTTCAAGCTTCTCTTTCAACAACTAAAGATCCATCAACTCCAGAACCATGACCCCTTTCATGCTCTTCTCCAGGAGAGGAGAAAACCATGACAAAGCTGCACCTTCAAGCAACGTTCGAATCGTGCCAATTTGAGACTCGGGAGTGGGGTACCGCCGATGTTGAAGTGCGAAGATCAACTCCATCTGGTTCAGGAATCCATGAAGCTTCGAATGCTTGCTTGAGAACTTCGCCAAGAAACTCACCTTCTATTCAGGAACTCTACTTGATCCTTGAGCCGAAAGTGAAGCAAGCTCCTATTACATGTGAAGAGGGTCGCCTTCAGCTCGGTATTCTCTGTAGCACATGTGGTTTTGACCTTTTATCCTATGGTGATTTACCATAGGATAACACCACGAAGCAGAACCTAAACCCTCTTTATGTCACATGACACATGCCACGTGTCATATACCACATGTCCAAAGGATAGTGGTGCGGAACCCGAGGTTCAGGGCCTTGGGCCACTGAACAAAGGAACGGTGCCAAACTCCCAAGCATGGAGCTAAGGAGTGACAGAACCGAACCACGGAGCAACTCCCGAGCATATAGCCCAAGGAGCGAAGGGACAAGAGCCCGAAGCGACTTGGAACAATCCTAGAGCAACTAGCATCCCAATGCTAGGACTAGCACACAAAACGGAGCCAAACAGAGTCTAGTGTTATTTTGGCATACCGGTGGCCTAATGCAAGGACATGGGTACTCCACCAGCTAGCATGGTGTGGAGCTTGGGCTTAGACCCAAGCCAGACATAGAACAAAGACAGGCACGCAAGCGGGAGCTAGACTATGCCTCAGGTTGGTCGGCCATGCCCGACCTACCCACTATCCCTACTATACATTTGGAACCCCCCATAGCCCCCCCCCCCCCCCCTGAGGAACACACGCTTTGGGCTTTCACCCCAAGCCTCCCTTAGTATCAAGAGTTAGTCTCTGGGACAAGCTCGAAACTTACTAAATATGGAATGGCGCTAGATTGTGAATTTGGACACGGGATGAACACCATTGTGTTCAGGCCAATCTCTACATTCCATAGATATGCCAAATGAGCAAATCTAGACACTTTCCATAAATAGCATTTGGGACCGAAATGAGACTAACACAAAGGGCATGATAGCGAGGGTGTTTGGCAGACACGGTAAGCTATCATCCAGCGATATTGAGGGACTAGTCTCAATATGCAAGGGTTCTTGTCACTAGCCAGTGCAAGACAAAACGAGACGGGAACTCCTTACCGAACTAAGTATGCTTAGTTAATAACACGTAGAAATTCTGTCCTTATGCTCGTCCGGTCTAAGTACACTCGAAATGCCCAGTTAACTCCACTAGCACAAGAGGGGCTGATAAAGGGTCCAGCAATACCGACCTCTTGCCGTCATGGCAGTAAGGAAAGAGTGTCCGTAAGGACTAGCTGACAAGTAACTTTCGATACCTAAAGTCACATTCACGACATTCTCAGACTGGATTTTTGCAAGGACTTCAGCAAAGAAATCAGGATGGCTTGGAGACTCCATCGGCAAAGAAGAAAGAAAAGGGGGAAAAAAGCAAAGGCAGTCAAACAATCAAAACGAGCTAAAGCAAAAGCAAAAAACACAATTTGAATCAAACTGTCAAGACCCCCAACAAGATCAGGACTAGAAAATGCAAAAGACAAAGAGAAAAACTAGTGGAAACGAAGAAAAAGCCTTAGACTGGTGTTGATTCAGATTGTGGAGAAATGGAACAAGGCTAACCTATATATATTATAGGTTGATGAAGCTTCACCACTCTTGGATCGAGGACGGCCTAAATATAGCTGAGGTCGAGGAGGCGCCACATCATCATGAGGAATGTGGTTTGAGACTCAGGAATCGTATGGGAAATCAGAGAATAAGGAAGTGTCTCGAGAGTCAGGAATGTGGTCTATGGGTCAAGAATCCGGCGAGAGTCAGGAATGTGGCAAGAATTGGGGGATTCCTAATAGAAAGTAGACATAGCATATCAAAACAAAAAACTCAAATGCACTCCAATTTAAGACAAGATAAAGGGTTTAACAATTAACAATAGTCAAAGGAGGGTTGTTGACCAAAAACAGAGTGGTCAACAAAGTGATGAAGTTGTGGCGGTGATCCGGCTGGAAGACTTGGAAGATCTTGAAATTGATGACAACAAAATAGCCAATATCATGGCAGTACTTGAAAAGAGGAGAAGGGAGTGAATGAGGAAGAGCAAACTCTAGCTAGGGAAGGCTTGGTGGAAATTCGAAAAAGTGACAAGGAAATAAATTGCATTTTCCAGAATGTGGACAATGAGGACAAGTACTTCTAGTGTCCAAGTTTTGTTGGGAAAAAAAAAGAAACTATGAGTTAGTGTACTGGTTTTAGGCAATTCTTGTGCCTTTTAGAGATCAAAGAGGAAGAATGAAAATGAGAGATTTGTATATTTTTCTATATATAGTAGATTAATCTTTGTTGTTAAACTTTGTATGAGGTTGCATTGTTTAAAATTGTAAATCTCTTAATAAAAATGACATTGAAACATGAAAAGTTTTCAAAATTTGAAAAAAAAATTTCTAGACTACAAAAGCAAAAATATTAGCTATTCACGACGATAATGCAATTTTGTGTTTGTTTCCAAAACCTCTTACTTATACTAGGCCTTGACATGTTGACATGCTAAAGGCCTACTAATGTTATAAATCTCCTAAGCCTCATGCCTCTAACCTTGTAGATCTTTTTGTATGCTTATAAGGATTCCTGGTAAGTTTATCTTACATTGATGCAAAACAGCTAAAACAAAGAACACTGGGAGACACTTTCAGTTACTATCAGTATATAGTATTATTATTTAGCTAATAAGTATGTTACTCTACGTCTCATCGTGATCCATGAAGAAAGGAGGATTTCCACTATGATCGTGATCCATGAAGAAAGGAAGAGGAAGAGGATTTTCACCTGGGCGGGAGAGCTCTGGCAGTGCTCCTCCTCCCGATCCAATCCCACTGCTCGCGGGGCCAATGCATCCAGGATTGAGAGGCCGCCGAAACCTTGGCCCCCCGAATGGATTGATCCCTCCTCGCGCCGGAAGGAATGGGATCTCCGGGTAAGCATCGTAGTCGCCCCCGATGATCCCCCAGGGATGGTGTGGCCTCAAGTTCCTCCTGGGAACGATGACGTCTCTCCGCGATAGGACCTGGATGCGCTCTCTCCGTTTCCTCGCGTACCACTCGCGAACAAACGCGACCTTCCAGCTCGCCGGCGGAGCTTCCCCTTGCTTGAGCTTGAAACTCTCACCCGCGAACTTCATTCGCCAGATATCGTTGTTGGCGGCGAGGAATCTCAGCTCCGATGAGACCATCGAGATCCTGGCGACGTCTAAAGCTGGAAGAAACTCGAGGATCTTCATCTTGAGCTCGGTGGGGAGGATCTGGAAGCACGCCGGCAGTGGCAGCCCCGCGATCTCGCACAGCAGCATCAGCAACCGCAGCGTGAGGTTGTCCTTGATCTCCTTCCAGAGAGCAAACGCGTCCTTGTAGAGCGAGAAAGAAGCCTGGTCCTGCTGCTCCTGGCTTCCACCACCACCACCTTTTGATTCTCCTTCCAAAAGAACTTCTCCCAGAAACTTGGAGATGGAGAGGCTAAGGCGGAAGATCTGAGACGATCCCTGGACGCTGCCGTAGACCACCATGAATTCTCCAACGCTTTGACACCGGAGAAGAACTCTGGCCTCATCGTTCTTGAGCTGGCCGAGCTCAGGAAGAGTATACTTGATCGAGGAAGCTCCAGCGATTGTCGGGCAGCCCAGAATCACGAATCCAGTCTCGAGCATCACTGCGTGGACCGCCAAGATCAAGAGGTCTCGCGAATTCCCCACATTCTTGCCTTCCACGGACAAAAGCCTCGAGAGGAGATTTGGGATGAGGTGACAGTACTTGTTCCCGGAGTCCTGGACTTCTTCCTCCTCTTCTCCTTCCATGGATCGTTCCTCCATCGCTATCGATCCTTGCTCTTGCTCGGCACCTCGATTCACAGCCTCCTCTTCCAATCGACGTTGTTCTTCGACATGTGGCGGCGATGGCTGCCCGGCATTTCGATCCACAGCCTCAAATCTACTCCTTGTCGCCGAGGATTCTTCCGCAAGAGCAGCCTTTTGCTCTCGAGCACGCTTATCCGCCGCCGAGGCACACAATTCCCTTCTTTCCACTTCCCTTGAAACTGTGCATGAATCCGAGAACCCTAGCTCCCGATCGAAGTAGTAGAGGAGATCCCCGGGGCGAATTCCATACGCTTCCAGCGGCGCCGACGCGTCGCCCTCGATCTCGTCGCGCTTGTTGAGCGAGAGCCGGATGCTATCCACCGGCACGCCAATAATCTGGGAGAGCGCGTGGCGGAGATCGTAGATTCTTGCTGGTGCCGGTACCTGGATGCGATGTGTGGCGCCACCGCCAGCGGCACGAACGCGCAGCCTCATGCCCCTGTTCTCCATCCCAGAAATTAGGGTTCTTGCTCTAGGTAATAAAAATATCCCCAAGTTCTTTTAGTCCATGGCTCTGCCCGGGGCGCCACGCGATGGCTCTTCGCCGATGCCGGCCGTCCAGATCGATGTCTGGAGCGATATTTCGTGCCCATGGTGCTATGTCGGCAAGGTATTGTGAAGAATCCAGCTCGTTTGCGCGGATTTTCGACCGATGAGCTTTGGGATTTCGCGATAGGTTCGCTTGGATCGTGCCATAAAGAATGTTGAATCGGCTGCTGGAGGGGCAAAGATTGCGTCGGTGAAATGGTACGCCACGATGCGCATTTTGTTGTGGATTCTATCTCACTGGAAGAAATTTCTTTCTAGGCATCCATACATTATTGATCACAGCACCAATCCCTCTGGAGAGGAGTATCTGGCTTATAATCGAAGGAGATGGGGCTCGGATTCCTGGACTACTTCTTTGAGAAGGTAAGTTCTCTTGGACAGAGATAGCGAAGCCCGTGACAATCCATAGAAAATTACCTCAGGTCAGGTGCCAAGGATGGGGCTGTATTTGAGAATTGGAAGTGGTGGCCGAATTCTTTGCATGGACACAGGCAAGTAGGGAAGAAACTTCTAGCAGTTTTAACCTTTGAATTCAGGCTTGTGAGGTTGGCGGACACTGTAGGCAAAGCTGCCGAGGCAGAACAGCTTCTTTTCACGCTGACTTACGAAGAAGGCCAGAATATATCGGATTTGGAGGTCCTGAAATCGGCTGGAGAAAAGCTCGGCTTGCCAAACGTTCGCGAGTATCTGGTAGTTCTTATATTTGTTTTTTAAACCTTGTGTTTTCTAATCTTTGTGTGTTATCCAACAGGAATCTGGAGAAGGAAAACGCGAAGTTCTCGAAGACGATAAGCTTGCAAAGGGAAAGATGGGCTTGCATTCGGTTCCGTCATTTCTCTTCAACGGAAAGTTCTCGTGCTCCGGAGCAATGGTAAGCAATTTTCTCGACTATTGTGGTTCTTAATTTTTCACTGCCAGGATACAAAATCATTCGAAGCGACCATCATGAAAGCCATGAACGGCACAATCTAAGAGAAACAACTCGTTATTCTGGATATATATTGTCTAATACAAGCTGTGTACATTTTTGCAAGAATGGCGTTCGAACTAAAGGCAATTTGATCACCATTGAAACCGAAGGGGGTCTATATGCACATACAGTTATACGCGCAAAAGAGAGACTTTTTACTGGCTCGTGAATGCCTGCAGAACAAAACATTGACGTGAGTAGCATTTTCGTTTTCTCTCCTCTCTTTTGGCTTGTTTCTTACCGAGAAGATCGTTGCATGTCCAGGATCGGCGAGATGAGCCAGCAGGTTGTCAATCGGACGTGCACCAGTGTATACAGCTTGGAACCAGGCACCCATGACGGCAAGCATTGCAAGTCTTCCATTCTTGATCTCCTTGGTCCTGAGTTCCTTGAGCTTTTCAGGCGAAGCAGTTCCCCAGCCGAATGGATCGAACCAGAATCCACCGGGGTATCCCACGTCTGTTCCTGTGAGCTTGTTGTTGGGGAAGACGGGGTCCGTATTGACGGAGCCTGGTTTCAGTATGTCGGCCCATCTCCTGCCTTCGGCCCAGCCAAGAAGAATCATCTCCACGATGAAGAGCGTGGTCTGGTCAGTGAAGTATTCCTGCTCGCCAGCAGTGTACCAGAAAGGAGTGTTGAGAATTCCGAGCTTGGTGAGAGCTTCGGGGATGAAGATTCCAGCAGCGCCAAGCATGGCCCATCTCGAGTGCACAATCTCCGACTGGACAAACCACTTGAGAAGTTCCGGTTCCGAGCCTGACGAGAAGGAGTTCCCAAGCTTATCAAGTCAGAACACCACTTCCAGAGATCTTACCAAGGCCGAGAGGATCGAATCCAAAGTCTGCTGGCAGGCTGCATCACAGGGATGACAGCAAAGCGGTAAGTTCCTTGCTCTCATACTTATCAATCGAAGTTGTCACTGACCTTCCGTCTAACCAGGCCGGAGGAGTGCTTCCAGGGAACCACAGGGGTCTCTCGGTCGCTGCCGCGGCTGTCACAGAGAAGACCGCTTTGGCTGCCTTTGCGACGTGAGCCTTGTTCCTCAGTGGTCGCCCGGCGAGGAAGGTGGTCTTTGCGGAGACGATCTCGTTCGGCTTCTTTTGAGCGCTGGTGTCACAAAAAGAATGGAAGTTTCAAACCATCCAGGGAAGAGGTACGCACATCTACTAGACGTTTTGCTACAAACGAACGAGAGCTTAGATCTCTTCTTCTCTCTTGCTTACCTTGAAGAGGGTGCTACAGCGATGGTGGAGGAAGCACACACCGCAGTCGCCATAGCAATGTGGGATTTGCGGTGTGTGTATGTTTCGCAAAGAACTTTGCAAGCTAAGCTATGGAGGAAGGATAGTATGGAGTGGTGAAAAGCTTGTTTAGGTGGATGGAATCCTGACCGGATAGGGGAGCGCGCTGCCTATTGGCTGGCTTTGATCCGGGGCGTCCACAGCCACAAATTTGCAGAATGTATCTTTCAACAGTGGCCACATTTCCCAGTTTGTGGCCACTTGGTACGGAAGTTTAGATTATAGACAAATGCAATTGATTAGAGATTCTTTGATTGATAGAGAGATTCCACAAAAGATTCTCTAAAATTCCTCTTTCTCCCCATTTGTGAGCTTACTTCTTGGATGATGATGGCACCTTCTTCTCTGGAGCTGGGAGATTGATGTAGGCTGCTATGGCCGCCGCTGGCACGATGATCGCCATCGCATTCGCCGCCTTGTGGAGCGCAGCCGCGGCATTCATCCTTGCTCACAAACCCTAGATTCGTGTTTTTAGGGTTCTTGGCAGCGATGGCGATGATATTTCGTGTTGGCGGGCAGCTCCAGCTCCAGCTCTCCGTGCTTCACAGCAGCGACAGGAATGTACGATCGCGAGGGATTCGTATGTGCTGCCGCTGTCGTGCAGCGAGGGATCGGGCACATTTCGACGACGACGACAATGATGGAGCGAAAGATTTCTCCGTGCCAGGCAAGCGCTTTGTTTGGATGAAAAGATTTTGGACTGACGAGACCAAGTGTTTCCTCGTGGCGCTGCTGCTGGCATTCGCTGTGAGGCGCCTGGTTGCGGAGCCAAGGCGAATCCAATCGCTGTCCATGTTCCCCAGCCTAGACGTTGGAGATCACATTTTTGTCGACAAGGTACTCTCTTCTCATTTTTTTTTTCTTTCCATGGTCTTTCTCTTTCGTTCTTGTGTTTATTCTCTCTCACCTGTTCTTGCGTTTGTTCATGGATGGTTTCTTTTTTACCGCAGGTAACTTATCGTTTTAGGAAACCAGAGGTGAACGAAATTGTTTTGTTCAAAGGCCCTGCTGCGCTGATCGAGGTACATGATCTTTTCTTCTTTCTTTCCAGGCGACAAAAGAAAAGTTCGCTGGCAGGATTTTGGCTCCAGAGCAGTTTTTGTCAAGAGGATTGTTGCAATGCCTGGAGATTTCGTGGAGGTATGAGCAAACCAAAGTGGAAAGTAATGATTTTTACTTGTCTCTTGATTCGCAGGTTTCTGATGGCTCACTGCGAGTGAATGGAGCTTGCAGAGAAGAAGCCTTCATTCTGGAACCACACAAGTACGAGATGAAGCGAAGGGTAAGTCGAAGGAAGAAATCATACACCAAGCTCATGAATGGCTTTTGTTTTGTCAGCAAGTCCCCAAGGGGTGTGTGTTCGTCTTGGGTGACAATCGCAACCTCAGCAATGACTCGCATGTCTGGTGAGAGCTCAAATCCATTCTTTTGGTGTTTTCTCTTTTTACGTGTGCTTTGCTCAACGCAGGGGACCTCTTCCTTTGAAGAACATCATGGGAAGATCTGCTGGCCGCTTCTGGCCGCCCTTCCCACACAAGTATTCGAAGTTACACATTAATAGAACATCTCCACATCTAAAACCTTAAAAATCCTGAGGAGGGTGAAATCCTTATTTGCTCTTCGCAAACAAGTGTCTCCCTTCGTTCCACTTCGAGGGTGATGGTGACAAAGCAAAAGTCAATGCTAGTCAATCAAGGTCAACAATCTTTGAAGAAACTTTATTGACATTGCATTGACTTTTCTTTGACTTCATTGACTGGTGTGGTCAAAAAAGGAAGAAAAAACTACAAAAAAACGTATCCAGTCTGTGAAGCGAAATACTATTCCAACCCAGACTCGCTCCTGGGAAGAACCTCTTACTCGTCGAACAGCTCCCAGCAACACCACAAGATCGCTGCCTGACGACATAGCCTCCCTTCTCCATATGTGAGCAATTGTAAACCAATACTCTGACGTTTGTTACGTGTGCTTGGACTACTGTCGAGGGCGCTGGCGCCCGTCTGGTATGCTGATGAGCACAATCGGACTCGTCGGTCGGACGTACGGCGCGTCACAGATGAAGTACCCCTTCCTCTCCAGCTGAATAATCTCCCCCTTGGCGAGGTTTCGCATGTTGGAATCGCCCACCGCTGCCACTTCGATTTTAGTGACTGGGTTCAACACATTAAGCAGCTCGTCCTCCTCCTCCATCTGAAAGAAAACAACATTCATCCAGAGCCAAAACCAAGGGAAAAAAATTACCTTCTCTTTTCTGATAAGGTAGTCAAGCTCAACGAGGTTGAGATCCACGAGCTCCGGATGATCCGCGAGCCATGTCAGCTTGAGCTTGGTGGTCTTCACCGATCCCTCGAGATGCAGCACCCCGGACAAGCCAGTGACTTTGTCCCCCTCCCTGTCGATCTTCTCGATGATGGTGTTTCCCCAGTCCATGAGTGTCACCTCCTCCCCCTCGTGAATTGCTTCCGCATCGGCTTTGTCGATTAAGATGGTGTTGGCAAAAACGGTAGCCTTCTTGCCTGCTCCCGCGAACTTCTTGTGCCGAGGTATGATCCGGATGAATGGCGTCTCTGGTCCGTCTCGCAAAGTGAGTGGAACCTTTCCATCCTTCAAGACCGCCGTGTGCCTCGGGCAAACCGGGTCGATAATCTGCTTGTTGATCGTCCATAGCTTGTCCCACTCCATCAGGTTTAGATTCTTTGACGCGCCCTGGAGAAAAGGAACACGAGGATCATTTGAAACTCAATAGTTCCCAGAGATTTTTTCATACCTGTGAAAGGATGAAGCGGCGCAGTGCCTCAACAGTCAGGCCACGCCTTCGCATACCCTGCACTGTAGGAAAGCGCGGATCGTCCCAGCCTTCCACGAGGCCCTGGCTCACAAACCACTGCAGCTTCCGCTTGCTCAGAAGTGTATAGACGAAGTTGAGACGGCTGAAGTCCCACGTATGGACCGGTCTTACACCCATGTCCGCGAGGATTCTGTAATACTGCTCGTTCCTGTCGTGATATTCGCTGGATCGAAGCGCATGAGTGACTCCTTCGGTGCTGTCCACGTACGGGCATGCGAAGTCATACGTTGGATACACCTTGTACTTCGAGCCCACCCTGTGGTGTTCCTCCGGGTTGCACCGGTAGTACACAGGGTCTCTCAGCGTCTTGTTCAGTGCTTGCATGTCGAGTTTTCCCCTCAAGCAGCAACTCAGGCCCCTTTTCGTCCCTGCCACCATCTCCTTCCATAACGCCAAGTTCTCTTCCACATTCTGATTCCTACGCTTCGACTCGATCCCGTCCATCCTTTCCTTCTGCATCACCTCCCTGGGAGTGTCGTCGACATAAGCTTTCCCTTCCTTGATCAGCTTCTCCGCCATTTCCATTAGAGCGGGAAAGTAGTCGGACGTGTACGTGACCTCGTCTGGCTTGATCTCTAGAGTCTCCAGGTCCTGCATTATATTCGTCACGAACTCGTCTTTCTCCTTGCTCGGATTCGTGTCGTCAAACCGAACAATCAGCTTCCCTCCATACTTCCGCGCGAAATACTCGTTGAGAAACGCAGCCTTCGCATGCCCGATGTGGAGAAAGCCGCTAGGCTCCGGTGGAAAACGAGTGCACACCTTTCCCATCTCGGCACCCGGCAAAGATATCTCGAACGAGCCTTCGACCTTCTGGGCCTTCTCAGTCTGCTGGACGTCGGCTTTCCCTTTCTTTGGAGCTCCAGCCACTGCGGCTGCTACTGGCTTCGCTTCAACAGAGACGGGCCTTCCCAGTCCCCTTCTCCCAACGTACTTGGAAGCTAGTTCCTGGAGTATCGGACGATCGACTGAAATGGCGTCATACCAGCGTGAAAGATGTGGGAACTTTGCAGACTTCTTCATACTCTCCCACCTCTTGCCTCCACCTGCAACAAAATGGAAGATTAAAATTCCTCAGTGCCTCAAAGTTTTCCTTCTAAGATTACCAGCGAGAGATGACCAGATCGTGATATCAGCGACAGTGGTAGTGTATCCCACCAGGAAGGTACGCATCGCTAGATAGGAATTGACGTAGTGGCAACACTCCTCAAACTCGGCACCAGCGCTAAACTTCGGTGAATAGTCCAGCCATTCGTCTACCTGGGATCAGAACAAAAGTGTTCTAAAGCCGTGACCCAAAGAATGTGGCTACCTGAGAAGCAGTGACCGGATCGACGCCATAGAATCCGTGTAGCGAGCTCAATCGCCCGAAATATCGCACCAGCGTGTTCAATCCCAGTAGCCTGTCACTGCATTGGAAGAAATCTATCAAAAACGATCGGCGCGCAATCTTTCTTAAACCCTTACCCGGATTCTAGCGCTAGCTGCGGCTTGGATCCCTCAGGGAGGCTAGAAACCGGATCGATCGTTACGCCGCCCACTGCCGCCGCTGCGATCGCTGCCAGAGGAGGAAGATCTGGGGCGAAGAACAGCGCGAGCGCCATTTGCTCGCTTTCTACCTAGACCTAATCCTTAAAACCCTAGAGAATTATTGAATCCACCAAGAGAGAGAAAAAAAAATTTGATCTTTCCGGGTGGATTGAGTTCTTCGGCCCACCATGAGGGACACGAAGAATTGCGAAGCTTAGACTACTCGGTGATGGATTGATCGTCCTGCGAGCTCGCAGCACTGCTCGGATAATTCTCCTTCACGAGCATCCCCGGCATCCAATCGCTCGAAAGATTTCCCCTGTGATCCAGCGCATGGCCTGCATTGCCTGTAAGCTGCCGAGACCTTCAAAACCACATCTTTGAGCTAAGACAGACGATCAAAGACAAACCAATCAAGAACACGAGAAAGATATCAGCATATCCGAGAACCAATGCAGTCGATGAAACCACCGTCGAACTCTGGATCCCGTAGAAGGCAAGGGAGACAACACAGAAAAAAGAAATAGAAAACTGTTTGAAGAGAGAAAAAAACGAGCAAAAAAATTTTTAAAAAGCATTGATCGATGTGCCACATCACAAGGTCCACGTCACTTGCCACATCAGCCATCCTCACCAACCGTCAAGAGTCATGTGTATAACCACCCAATGCAATGAAGTATGGTTGTAGTCAAATCTTACACGGCTTGGTAGCTACTTCATTTATGGAACACCAAGAATAGAAGGGCTCTTTCTGGATCGGCTTGGGACTCAACAAGAAGTTTATCCACCTGCTGGACCTCTCCAAGGATGCTGATGAGAACTGGGAGTCCCTGGTCTAGGTGTTTGCTGCGAAAGCAGCCAATGGCAAGATCATCCTTACACAAAAGTTCCATTCTCTCGGGATGCAACCAACAAACATGATGGCATTATGCCAAGGCGTTCCTCCTCTACTCAGTTTCTCCTGAACTACAACCATCTTCCTCGGTGCTCTCCTTTGTTCCAGGAAAAACTAGACGAGCCTGGAAGATAGTTGTAATTCAGAGGAAACTGAGTAGAGGAGGAATACCTTGGCATAGTGCCATAGTGTCTGTTGGCTGCATTCTGAGAGAAGGATGAGGACGATCTTGCCATTAGCTGCTTTTGCAGCAATCACCTAGACCACGGACTCCTAGTTCTCATTAGCGTTCTTGGAGAGGTCCAGCAAGGTGGACGAACTTATCGCTGAGTCCCAAGCCGATCACAGAAGGAGCCCTTCTATTCTTGGTGTTCCATGCTGTGGCTGGGTGGCTCCACATCAGCCGACGTTGAATGGGAGAAATTGTTTCACAAATTTACACAAGAAAACTTCGAAACCTGGAGAACAAAAGGTTCAGCTTCATGAAGGATTGCTGGACAAAGTGTACTTATTGGAGAAAGATGGGACACAGAGAGCGAGAATGAGAGCTAAGAAAACCAACAGCTGCCGACTCAAACAGCCTTATTGTTTAGCCGTGGCCTTGCACTGGTGTCTAGTTTGGACGTCCTCTGGTTGGTGCTTCTTCCTTTTTTTTCATGGTGAGGAGACAGGATCTTCATTCTCGTCAGTATTATATTTAGGTTAATAGTCCTTGTGGTTCAGTCCGAGGACGAGTAGTGTTCAGAACGCTTTGTCTTGAGAGATGGAGGTGTTTGATAGGCGACAATTTCAGAGAACGTGCTCATTGATGCGATGGGGATTGTGGCCCATAGTTTCTGGGCAAAGGAAACTACCTGGCTAGATCTAGACGATAACATGAAATCTGGCGCAGTCATGTGAAACAGGTTATGGGAGCGGATGCGACATAGGACGTCGATATCATGATTCGGCACAGTGAATTTTACAGCCTCATGCAAGATCTTGGAGAACCCATTCAGAAGTTTATCACCCAAAAGCCCTGCAGATTCACCTCCTTGACTCTAAGTCAGGAGTTACTGATCCAGAATTCAATGCAGTCTTGTTCAAGGGCATGTCTTCTATGGCAATCTGCTCTCACTTGCAGCTTCTTGACACACACATTCAACAACAATTGATGGGGAGCTGGTCTAGCTAGAAATTGCAAGTTGGTCGTGATGGCCAGGTTACATGTGTTTTGATGTGACAAAGATGAAAAAGCTGAACTTGACGAACAATACGACTTTAACTTTGTTGCACACGGCAAAAAAGAGTACGAAGAAGCCAATCAAATCTTCTTTT